GGAGAGCGGGTGCGTCGCTGTCACGGCTCCCGTAGTCGTGCGGAGCCTTTTCGGAGTTAATAAATAGGGGCTCAGCCGTCCCCCGGGCCCGGCGGGGGGACGGTGCCTCCTCCGCGGAACTGGCGCCCCTGAATCGTGAGCAGCCTGCGGATTCAGGGTCCTCGGGCGTTGAAAGCACGGCCAGGGGAGGAGTTTGTGGGTTACCTGACTTAAAAGTTGTGCGATGAGGTTGGCAAAACTGATGCTTCGAAATGGCGTGGATGTAAGTATTTACAGGATTAAAATGAGAGATTAGGAAGGGTTTAATTGTCATATGGGCTCTTGGAAGCACTAACGCCTTGCTAGCTGCATGTCCTTGACTTGGATGTAGGGTCTGTGATAAGTTGCTGGCCCAGAGGAGATCTGAATTCGCACAAAACTTCCTTTGTCCTTTTCTTCCAGAAAGTCGTGCAGGAAGAGCTGGATGGCCTCCTGGAGCAGCAAAGCACCATAGAGAACAAGATGGTTGCACTTCATCGCATGGGGTTAGCGATCCCTGCCCTCTCCCCTTCTTTCTGCTTCTGCGCGCTGTTCAGTACCTCCCTGCTTACTGCATGATGTGAAAATTCGTTTCAGTGTTGCAAAGGAAGGACATTCATTCTCAGAAAATGTCAGACTTTAAATCAGTTTGTGGTAGGGAACAGTAGTTGGATCCTCACCCCCAGGCACCCGGTTCTTCTCCGCAGCACTAACAGGGGGAACTGCTGTGCCCTGACAAGACCAATCCATTTTGGCATAGGCTGAGCAGTTCTTTGAAGGTCTCACCCCAGAGATTGTCAGGTTTCAGCATCAATACTTGGATCAGATGTCCTGTGTCAGGCTGTTTACAGGTGTGGACAAATATTACTGCCTCTTCGTGGTGAGCTTGTGCAGGCAGTCTGGAAAGTTAGCCAACACGGCCTCACATCTGGTCAAAGCTTGGAGCACAAGTTTACGCACTTCACCTTCTGCTTCAGAAGTGGAGAGTATCATAAAGCCTCAGTGGCTCATTCATGCCCTGTCTGGTAGCGAGACAGTCGTTTGTCTGCACAGCCTCTTACAAAGCAGTCTGTTTGATTTTGATGCTTTGCTCCTGTAAGGAGGAGGGGCATGAGATGAGAGATACCGTTGCTGACAGGAGCATTTGGGTTTGGAGGGAGAACCATCCTGCTGTTGCAGACCATCCGACTACTTAATATTTGCATCTTATGTTCAATTCGCTTGTGTTTCCAGCCCTAATTTGCAGCTCATCGAGGGGGATGCCCAGCAGTTAGCAGGGATGATCACCTTCACCTGTAACCTGGCCGAAAACGTCAGCAGTAAGGTCCGCCAGCTTGACCTTGCCAAGGTAACTGGACTGAGGAAGTGTTTGGGACTTGTCACCGCCAGGCCTTATTCTGTCTGCTCGTGTGCTCACAGCACAACAGAGAAATGTGCTCTTTTCTTCAGTGGGCAGGTGGGCTGGAAACAGCTTTGTTCTTTTAGCATTTTCTAGTGTTGTTAAGTAATGGTATCTTGCTGGGCTCCTGGATATTGCAGGGTACAAGAGTAAATAATGCGTATGATTTTCCATATAGCAGCTGGTTCTCCAGCATCCCCTTCTGTCCATGCAGCTCCTGGTAGAATATGGTGAATAAGCTGCGGTTAGTCTTTGTTAGCACTGTTTTGTCAACTGTTGCAGCGCTGGGGACAGTGGAGATGGTCATTGTCACCCAAGAGCAGTCAGGAATCTGGGCTGTCATATTCTTTGTACAGAGGTAGGCTAAGAGATGTCAAGTCCCAGCGCCCAGCACAACTGCTTAAATCAAAATGGATGATGTGTATTTGTGTCTCTGGTCTCTGCCTGTTTATTAAAGTGGAGTATGGCCTCTGAGTTCTGTCTGAGTTTTGACAGGTAAATACTGCTCATCTTTTGGAGTCATTGGTCTTATGACTTTTTAAGTAGTTTGGGTTTCTGCTTACATAGTTGTTTATCATGTAGAGAAGTATTGCTTCAGTCTGTTTCTTCCTGTCTCCATAATTATCTTTCCCTGGTATAGCCTTCCTCAGGCA